TTATTTTTGGTAAAATCTTAGAAAAGTACTTAATAGTCCTTTTTTTTTTTTATAAACTTGTCTCGACTGAGAGTAAGAATTGTTGTATATATAATACGGAATAATTAAATCTGCTGTGCAATTGTGTATATATAAATATTATTAGTGTACTTTATGTACTTTAGTGTAAAAAAGTATTATTTTGGCCTCCAGAAAGGGTCTTATAAGTCCTTATTTCAACATAAGTCTTACTACTATGAACCCTGTATCGGTGTTTTTTCTTCGAGTCGCAGTTATAGAGTGAAACCCTGTCTATAGAGTACACCCCTTTATATAAAGGCCAGTTTTTTCGGTTTCTCTTGAGTGATCCTTATATACGAGAAAATCGAAATTACGTTGGAAATTGTCGCCGTTTTTCGTCGTGAATGTTAATCGTTTAAAGTAATCACTGATCGCCGTGGCAACACGATTGTGAACGACGACGCGGAACCGGGTGTGCCCCCTGGTGACCGGATGTGGCGTCGGGCGAGCGCACGCACGTTCTTGTGTTGTTGACGTCGTGTCGTCGTTTCTCGCGGGCAGCTGCGGAAGAAGGACCAGCTGAACGTCGAGTCGAAGGTCAAGGTCGTTCGCTTCATCGGCGAGCTCACCAAGTTCAAGATGTACACGAAGGCCGAGTCACTCTACTGCCTCAAGGTCAGTGAGGTCAAGGGTCAGGGTGGGAGGGGGTGTAACTGTGAGGTGTTGTTGTATGTGTGTGTGTTCATTTATTGGGCTGTTTATTTGGGTGTGTGGGGGTTATCTGTCCAACTATCCATCCATCCGTCCGCCTATCCGCTTACCTGTCCAACCATCTGTCTGTCCGTCCATCCCTCGATCCATCTATCCATCAATCCGTTCATGACAACCACCCACTCATTCCATCCATTCATTCATACAGCTAGCTGTCCTGTCAGGCTATGTGTGTGCGTGTGTGCGTGCCTACATGTGTGTGTGTGTGTGTGTGTGTGTGTGTATTGAATGCTTGTCCCTCGTGTTTGCAGCTGCTGTTGTTTGACTTCACGCACCTGAACGTGGAGCTGGCATGCAACCATCCATCCATCCATCCATCTACCATCGTGTGTGTGTATGTGTGTCCGTGCCTACATGTGTGTGTGCGTGCGTGTGTGCGTGCCTACATGTGTGTGAGTGTATATTGAAGACTTGTGTTCCATCGTGTTTGCAGCTGCTGTTGTTTGACTTAACGCACCTTAACGTGGAGATGGCATGCAACCATCCATCCATCCATCCATCCACCGTCGTGTGTGTGTGTGTGTCCGTGCCTACATGTGTGTGTGTGTGTGTCCGTGCCTACATGTGTGTGTGTGTGTGTGTGTGTATGTGTGTGTGTGTGTGTGTATATTGAAGGCTTGCGTTCCCTCGTGTTTGCAGCTGTTGTTGTTTGACTTCACGCACCTCAACGTGGAGATCGCATGCAACCATCCATCCATCCATCCATCTACCATCATGCGTGTGTGTGTGTGTGTGCGTGCGCGTGCCTACATGTGTGTGTGCGTGTGCGCGTGCCTACATGTGTGTGTGTGTATATTGAAGGCTTGTGTTTCTTCGTGTTTGCAGCTGCTGTTGTTTGACTTAACGCACCTTAACGTGGAGCTGGCGTGCAACCATCCATCCATCCATCCACCATCGTGCGTGTGTGTGTGTGTGCGTGGATACATGTGTGTGTGTGCGTGTGTGCGTGCCTACATGTGTGTGTGTGTGTGTATATTGAAGACTTGTGTTTCTTCGTGTTTGCAGCTGCTGTTGTTTGACTTCACTCACCTGAACGTGGAGATGGCATGCAACCTGCTGGAGACGTGTGGCCGCTTCATGTTCCGATCACCGGACTCCTACCACCGAACCAAGGTCTACCTGGTAAGGGCTGTGTGCTAGCAGAACTCTTAGTCTGTCTGTCTGTGTGCATGCGTGCGTGCGTTCGGTGTTGCGTGTGTCGGTGCGTGTGTGTGTGTAAGTGTGTGCATGCGTGCGTGCGTTCAGTGTTGCGTGTGTCGGTGCGTGTGTGTGTGTAAGTGTGTGCATGCGTG